ACCGTAGGTAATCTATAACTCGTACATAACCGTAGGTAATCTATAACTCGATCATAACNTGTGACATAATACTCGAAAGAGTACATTACTACATTACTACATTACTGTAGGTAATCTATAACTCGTACATAACCGTAGGTAATCTATAACTCGTACATAACCGTAGGTAATATATAACTCGTACATAACCGTAGATAATCTATAACTCGTACATAACCGTAGGTAATCTATAACTCGTACATAACCGTAGGTAATCTATAACTTGTTATATGCTATGTTTCATATATCATATTTCCTGTATGTAAGCTTATGAGATTTGATTGAAAAGGATATTGATTTCTAAAGCGATATTCCCTCTGGTATTACTGGTGAATTGTTTATTTCAAAGTTCGTTGAATAATTCACATACACAGAATTGATTGACCTACCAATAATAAGGACATGTGCTTCCAATGTATGTAATGAATGGGGGTATGTGTTCTGGTGACAATATGCTGATGTATTTCCCCTTCTCACAATACCGCGAATCTGATGACAAATAGAGTGCTACCTCACTGAAATACCATGTCGAAGACATCCGACTTATAATTTCACCTGATACCATTATATTATCACAATAACCAGTTGTGGAAATTGCACTTTTGAATGACTTCAATACGTCCAGGGTTCGGGACAAAAACCATTGCCTTCCTCACTTTGGCGAACGTTTCATACCAAGGCCAAAAGTGAGGTATTGCCAGGCACCAGGAAAACAATAGTGTTTGGAAATCGAGAAAGATAAATATTCCAAATGTAGCAGTTGGCGCAGCAGTTTTGTTTTGTTCATTTCTGTGTGTGTAAGCACACCGCTTTTCAACAACATTTGAATTGACATTCTATCATACACATAATGGAGGATGTACATTTGATATATCAATGATTTTCTGTACTGATAAAACAGCTGTGTTTAGTTTGGAATGTTATGTTAGCAGCAAAAAAGTTTCTCATTGGTGACAATGTGTTAAAATATTTATCCTAATTGTGCATACATTTTTTTTCCACATTTTCGTTTGAAATGTCAGGTTGATATTTGAAATAAAATATATTGTATAATCATAACGACATAAAAAGCCACTAAATTCGTTTATTAAATGCAATGTCTGTTGAATAACGGCATTCCTCATGCATGTCGTGTATATCAGGGAAGCACCTGCTTCATTATCCAGTGTGTTACTTCACGATGTGCCACTCCAACACGATTTCGTAATCGGGTGAGAAATCGTGCTTAAATTGCTGCGTTCGCATGGTTAGGTGGGGCGCCTTTTGAAGCGGTCCCCGTTACTACTAGACATTGTTATACTTAATTTATTCTGATGTGGTTTATGAGGTTTAAATCTTAATGGGTCTGGAGACAAATTTAATGCACTGCGATCTTATACAGCTGATATCAAACTACTGATGAGACCCATTTTCGATGTTTATTGTAACGCTCAAGTGGTCAAGACTCTGCGTCCAAACACAGCTTGAAACTTATCTGTAATGGCATGGTCATCGTCACACTTCCGAATGGAAAGAAAGGGTAGCACACCCCTGCCTGCTATCCGAATTCAGACGACTTAATTACACCAACCTCACATCCGGGCTTTAAACCAATCAACTTAATTAAGAGATAAGTATAATTCAGAAATACAGGTACAAACACGGCGATTTATAAGATATAATAGATAAAACATATGAAATGAACAATATCTCAACTCAAATGACATAAGAACATCAGATCATTCTACCCATTATTCATATCAATATTCATATGTATTATAATCTAAATGGTACATAAACTATTAACTTCCCCATGTAGAACAGGTACACATAAGCTACAAACTCTTCATATATAATCACTTACACATTTTATATCACGCCTAACTCATACATATTTAGAATAACATTTCTGGCATCTCACGAATTCTCCCTAAAATCCCATAGTTTACACAGATAATCATGGGCGTGTAAATACTATACTTAAACTACATAACATAAAACACAATTACGTTCAGGAACTGAGAAACATTCTCTTTGTCTATCACTCACACAAACCGGTATATAACGACAAAACAGAACATGTATAATGCAGATTGTCAATTTCGAGCCTTTAACGAGCGGATGAATACGTCTCTGTGTAAAAATTCCGCGAAATGTCACGTAAAGGTACCAGACAGAACGGACGAAATAGAAAAATCTAGCAAGGTGTATGACGAGGGATATCTTGTCTGAGGTGCGGGAAAAGGATATCTCACATCGGTAAAACTGTGGATACACCTGTCCAGGGTAAGAGAAAAACAGTTACACACATGGACAAACAGAGGCAGAATGTTTTATTCATCACCCGTTTATATCGATGGAGAACACTTGAAATACTCATCCAGTGTGAAGATATCCCTAACTCTTTTTAGGACGACAAACCTTAACAAAAGCATAAACATATCTCTGACGACTCCAATAACTTAACTTACAAATATGCATTATAAATTCACAAGAAATATGATCTTTTAATAAAAGTAGGAAACTAACATCCAATAATAAAAAAAAACATGCAGCATTTGATATAGCGCCCTATCTAGCTAACATAGATATACAATTAATACAATTCGCATATACATTAATCAATACCATTTTTGAGGAATTTGCAGGAGTTGCCTTATCAGGCCTCTCTATGTGTGTATGCCTGCGTGTGTGCGTGAGATGTATTGTGTTCTGTTTGTAATGCGACCGTGCTTCCAATGGCATCTTTTAAGTACCACCTCACTTGATTGCTACAGCACAGATACCGCAACATCTACCCCAGACCATTGTATACTCCACCTGGGTTGTTGGAGTTGTGTGGGCAGGAGAGAAACAGTTATGCTACATATAATAAGAATATTGTCCATTCAGTGTTTGGTTCCGAAGAGACAAATGTTTATAAGCCCTCATAGTACTCCTTAAACTTTTATGACGAGCACGCAAAACGTCATGAGCACTTAGGCATTTGGCTGATAGATCGGACAGAGTTGGTATTTGTTCAAAATACACAATTTCAATACCTTCACGAGTGATGGACTTTAGTCTTCTCTAACTTACCTGCTCGTGGATCATCGGTTTAGAAACTCGAGGACAACACCCTACCTGAATACTTTCATAGGTGACAGGAAGAGTACGATACTTGGATTTAAGACACATAAAAACCATGAGCGTACACTCTTTCAAAATATTACATGCAATTCAGTTAATCAAAGTATTATGATATTTTTTAAATGGTACGTGTCCATTTGACATTCGAAGCCAGAATAAACCCACGCTACCTAGCCGTATACTACCCGGCATTAACACCTCAATTCCATGGAGTAAAACATCTCTGCACGGAATTGGCAACTGCTGACGTTTTCCCTTGTATATACAGGACATACAGTTCCCGGTTAATCTCTAATAAGTTAGTCCAACCACTCTCATCTCATCATGACATTCCGTCCACAGCGAGATGTTAGGTGAGTATTTGTGTCAGTACATTTTCCGCGGTGACAAAACGAGTAAATACATTGCGATCTTGGAACATTTAACTAAGATAACGGTGGCTATAGTTTCTATACTGAGAGATCAAGGACTACTTAAACGGAAAGATGGATGACTAAACGGATGCTTAAACGGGGTTACGGATAACGTGGCTGAGATCACGGATTAACTTTATTTCAAAATGTCCGTTTGCGGGCTCTAGTTACACTTAAATGTTATTTAAATACTTGTCCGTATTGCTCCTTTGTACTTAGATCTTACATTTCGAAAATAAGGCCAAGAAATTCTGTCTAAATTTCTTTCCCATTGCAATATAAATGACGAAATTTATGCTGGAGTTTACCACATACAAGAAATTTACGACAGTACCGAGAAGATGCGTTTGATCATAATCGTTAATCCAATAATCAAGTTGACTTATAAATCCAAGGGTTTGTACGAATGTGAAAACAGCAACAATGAGAACTATTGTCTTGGTAATGTTCGCTTTCTCGCTCATTGCTCTGGGTTCTGTACCCATACGTTTTCGTCTAATCTGCATTCTTTTGAGTTCTATAAGGATCAAGACATTTAAGGTCATCAACATTGTCAACGGAATAGCAAAATATACGGCAGCGTACATCCACACTGTATATACCTCCATGTAGAATGAACTTCTCCCAAACGCTGTCCATTTTAATGTAAAACAATGTCGAGTTGATCTCACATCATAGCATGGCGACTGAAATGTTTCATAAGCAAACAAACGAGGTATATTGTACAATACCGAAAACAAAACGTTAATGGATATAGAGACCAATACCTTTGTTCTGGTATGTAGGTACGCGTGTTTAAAAGGGTGACAAATTGCCACATATCTCTCCACGGAAACGAAAACGAGGATATGTACATTGCACAACTGTGACGTCATAATAAGGAACTCTAATGCTGTGAATCCTTTAGGCATAAAAACGTTTCTTCCCAGGTCGAAATCCCAAAACATGGCTATCAACCCAGGAAACGATAGTATTGCACAAGTCAAGGTAATGATTGCGATGTCGGACAAAACCAAAGCACGAAGGAACAGATTTGTTGTGGATGCCATCTCTTTACTCCAAAGAACAATTGCTGTCAGGATGTTACCTAAGTTCCCAACGACTACAACAATAGGGATGAGTATTCCATAAACAACGAACCTCAAGGACGAATAAAAAGGCAACGGATGTAAAAATGTGTCGGATTCGTTTTTGTTTATCCCGGATATTGATTCTGACATCTTGCGTAACTCAGATAAAGAATTGTTTAATTCCATGATTTTTCAGAGTACATCTATGTACTATAATCCCATCCGTGTATCAATATGTAGTGTTCCGTCCGTGTATCAACATGTGACTTTCCATCCGTGTATCAACATGTAGTGTCCCATCCGTGTATCAACATGTAGTGTTCCATCCGTGTATCAACATGTAGTGTTCCATCCGTGTATCAACAAGTAGTGTTTTATCCGTGTATTATCCGTGTATCAACAAGTAGTGTTTATCCGTGTATCAACATGCAGTGTCCCATCCGTGTATCAACATGTAGTGTTCCATCTGTGTATCAACATGTAGTGTTCCATCTGTGTATCAACATGTAGTGTTCCATCCGAGTATAAACATGTAAATTTCCATCCGTGTATCAACATGTAGTGTTCCATCTGTGTATCAACATGTAGTGTTCCATCCGTGTATCAACAAGTAGTGTTTTATCCATGTATCAACAAGTAGTGTTTTATCCGTTAATCAACAAGTAGTGTTTCACTGTGTATCAACGAGTAGTGTTTTATCCGTGTATCAACAAGTATTGTTTATCCGTGTATCAACATGCAGTGTCCCATCCGTGTATCAACATGTAGTGTTCCCTCCGTGTATCAACATGCAGTGTTCCATCCGTGTATCACCAAGTAGTTTTTTATCCGTGTATCAACATGTAGTGTTCCATCTGTGTATCAACATGTAGTGTTCTATCCGTGTATAAACATGTAAATTTCCATCCGTGTTTCAACACGTAGTGTTTTATCCGTGTATCAACAAGTAGTATTTCATCCGTGTATCAACAAGTAGTATTTTATCCGTGTATCAACAAGTAGTCTTCCATCTTTATATCTTATCCGTGTATCAATAAGTAGTGTTTTATCCGTGTATCAACATGTAGTGTTCCATCTGTGTATCAACATGTAGTGTTCCATCTGTGTATCAACATGTAATGTTCCATCCGTGTATAAACATGTAAATTTCCATCCGTGTGTCAACATGTAGTGTTCCATCCGTGTATCAACATGTAGTGTTCCATCTGTGTATCAACATGTAGTGTTCCATCTGTGTATCAACATGTAGTGTTCCATCCGAGTATAAACATGTAAATTTCCATCCGTGTGTCAACATGTAGTGTTCCATCCGTGTATCAACATGTAGTGTCCCATCCGTGTATCAACATGTAGTGTTCCATCTGTGTATCAACATGTAGTGTTCTATCCGTGTATAAACATGTAAATTTCCATCCGTGTGTCAACATGTAGTGTTCCATCCGTGTATAAACATGTAAGTTTCCATCCGTGTATCAACAAGTAGTGTTTTATCCATGTATCAACAAGTAGTGTTTTATCCGTTAATCAACAAGTAGTGTTTCACTGTGTATCAACAAGTAGTGTTTTATCCGTGTATCAACAAGTAGCCTTCCATCTGTATATCTTATCCGTGTATCAATAAGTAGTGTTTTATCCGCGTATCAACAAGTAGTTTTTTTATCCGTGTATCAACAAGTAGTGTTTTATCCGTGTATCAACAAGTAGTGTTTTATCCGTGTATCAACAAGTAGTGTTTTATCCGTGTATCAACAAGTAGTGTTTTATCCGTGTATCAACAAGTAGTGTTTTATCCGTGTATCAACAAGTAGTGTTTTATCCGTGTATCAACAAGTAGTGTTTTATCCGTGTATCAACAAGTAGTGTTTTATCCGTGTATCAACAAGTAGTGTTTTATCCGTGTATCAACAAGTAGTGTTTTATCCGTGTATCAACAAGTAGTGTTTTATCCGTGTATCAACAAGTAGTGTTTTATCCGTGTATCAACAAGTAGTGTTTTATCCGTGTATCAACAAGTAGTGTTTTATCCGTGTATCAACAAGTAGTGTTTTATCCGTGTATCAACAAGTAGTGTTTTATCCGTGTATCAACAAGTAGTGTTTTATCCGTGTATCAACAAGTAGTGTTTTATCCGTGTATCAACAAGTAGTGTTTTATCCGTGTATCAACAAGTAGTGTTTTATCCGTGTATCAACAAGTAGTGTTTTATCCGTGTATCAACAAGTAGTGTTTTATCCGTGTATCAACAAGTAGTGTTTTATCCGTGTATCAACAAGTAGTGTTTTATCCGTGTATCAACAAGTAGTGTTTTATCCGTGTATCAACAAGTAGTGTTTTATCCGTGTATCAACAAGTAGTGTTTTATCCGTGTATCAAAAAGTAGTGTTTTATCCGTGTATCAACAAGTAGTGTTTTATCCGTGTATCAACAAGTAGTCTTTCATCTGTATATCTAATCCGTGTATCAATAAGTAGTGTTTTATCGGCGTATCAACAAGTAGTGTTTTATCCGTGTACCAATAAGTAGTGCTGNTCAACAAGTAGTGTTTTATCCGTGTATCAACAAGTAGTGTTTTATCCGTGTATCAACAAGTAGAGGTTTATCCGTGTATCAACAAGTAGTGTTCCATCGGTATATCTTATCCGTGTATCAACAAGTAGTGTTTTATCCGTGTATCAACAAGTAGTGTTTAACTGTGTGTCAACAAGTAGTGTTTTATCCGTGTAACAACAAGTAGTGT